AATAGGCTTTGTAGTCTTTTTCAGTCACTGAATATGCTTGACCCCACTTCTTACTGGTTTGGTAATCTCTGAATGAGACCATAAAAAACCAGACCTATTCCATACTATTCAAAACAGCATATAGAGATTCAAAGCTGAGGAATGCTTAGTGTGAAGCTAGCAACCAAAAACAATCTTGGAGCACTTCAACTAGGAAAACTATCTGCATTAGTTTACACTAATGCACAAAATACAAAGTAATTCAAAGCAACACAAAACAACTTCAAGGATTACTAAGCATTACTAGAATTAACTGGGAAAGGAACAAGCAAAAGTTTAAGTGATCTCAGTTTCATGATTGATTTGGTAGTATGTCATCCTTACAGCTTCTATGACACATTTGCACTACAACCAAGTTTCTGCACTGACATTCATCAGATCAGAAATGGAAACAGAGAAATTGGGTTTGAGCTGCAACTTTAAAATACAGGCTTACGAAAGAGCAGTAACTCCTGGTTTTCCCCCTTCTTTGTTTCAAAGCAACTTAGAAGGCCGCATTGAAATACTGTTCAGTGGTTATAATTGCAAGGTCAAGCTGAGATTCTACCACTACATGAGCTGAGCTGGCCTGTTGCAGGAGGCAAGCAGTACCAGAAGTCACTATCAGCACTCCAAGCACATACACTGGATAGGATTTTTTGAGTTGCAAGTGTTCCAGAGCCTGACAGTCATTCAGACAGCATTTCCATAGGATAAACTCTTTAGTGTTCTTACTGCAGAAGAAAGTGAAAAGTCTCTGTAGCCAGAATTTGAGGTTCTGGTGAACACTGCAGCAAGGAAGATTAAAGTTCACTGCTGCATGATAGTAATAAAGCATGTATTATTTTGGAACATTTGTGATTACAATTTAAGGTTAATAGGGTGAGTTTCACTATCAGACTGAAAGGCTAAACAGCTCTGATTGTGCTATAGCAGTACAGTAAGCCACACATGACTGAACAGAAAAGCACTGGAACATGTTTTAGTAGTTGTCAATTCCAAACATTTAATAGAACACAGGTTCACTAGAGCAAGTCTGGAACCAAGATATTTTAGATCATTAAAGAAAAAACAAAACCTTAATGCACTTTTTTGCTTAAGCCAGGCATGAAAACCAGGTATCACAGCAACCAGACATTAAATAGTTCCCACAAAAATATTTAATTTCCACAGTACTTTCTTCAGTATCTTTAGTGAATTTTGTAGAACTTTACAGGAGACAGTACTTAATGCAATATACAGAATAACAGATCAGCTTTAACTTTTTCTTTCTTTTTTTAAGCTTCTCCCCCCCCCCTATTTAATTCTCCTGGTCACTTTGTAATTACTACACAGTCGTCCTTTTTACATTGACATTTCCATGTGGAAAGTGGAGTTTAAGAATGTTCAGCACTGCGCCCCTTTCAGGATGCAATGACTGGGGTAACTGGACACAAGTCCAACAAGCTATTGAAGCATTTTACATACAATATATACATGGATAGCACATTCTGCAGCTTAGTGAGGCTGGGACAACATAGACAATTCAGGGGAGAACTGCAGTACCAGTGACTAACTCAGAGCTTCCTATGTTAGAATGCCTGAAAAAAAAATTCCAAACATTCGAGTCATCACATGATTAATGTCCACCGATGGGATTATTAGCGTGTGTGATTTGCCTATATTGGGTTCCAACACACAGATTCTCTTGAACATTCTGCAAAACAGTTACTTCCATGGCATCATAGTCTGATACTAACTTAGCAAGAGGAATAGCAATTACAGAGTTTTCATACAAAAAGCACATGTAAGTGAAAGTCCATGAGAAGACAGCACATTCCCTGTGGTATCTGAGAGCGGTGACCCCACAGATATCAGTGCTCTTTCAGCTTACTTTAAAGTGCTCGAAAGGGATCACATAGCTGAGAAGGTCCAGACCAGTGCCAAATTCCAAGTGAGATTTGGAATGCTAGCACTTGGCCTTTGAGAAACTATTCCCAGGCGCTTCAGTCCCTTAGTGCATCTGTCATATTCACCCACCCCAGCAGGAGAACAGGGTAATAAGGGAATTCACCTTCTACTAAACTTGTACATTTCAGTTACCATCTCATTTGAACTCCTGTGAACAGATTTTATAATTCAAATTTCTGAGAACACTGAGGTCATGAAGTTGCTTGGTATGCACCCCCCTGTTCACCCTAGTTTAGAAGCAGATGGCAGTATGCATACTGCCTGGGTAATTTTTAAATCTGGGATGCTTAACTCTGATTCGGAAGAGTTTGCAAGTTAACTAACTGTATAAAAATACAGTATAGCTGTAATATTGCTCTGAAAAGCACTTCTGCAAACTTTTTCTGTACAGACTGGTAATAACATTACCAGATAATATAATACATATTTAAAATAAAAAAGGAACTCTTTTAATAAGTCTGAACACTAAACTCTAAATAGCTTGTTTAAAACAAAACAGTGTGACCCAGGAAAATTTTGCTTGTATGGTTAAGTTATAGCAGCATGGTTACTGGCTTTTCAAGGAAATTCTTGAATTCAGCAAGCCACTGTGCTCCAACTGCTCCATCTACAACACGATGGTCACAGCTAAGTGTAACGGACATCACACTGGCCACATCAAATCTGAAAGAGGAAAAAAAAAAGGTTAACACAATCCTCTGCAAGTCAGTGCCACTAACAAAGCAAAAAAGCTTTTATCAGAGAACCAACAATAGCAGCTGGTGCTTGGTAACAGAAGTTTCTTCCTGTGGACTTCTAAAAAAGATTACATTGGAGAGCAGATCATATTAATTCCTTTTCTACAATTAAGAAACACATTTGTACGTTCCCTTTAGGACAGGAAGCTCATCTTTCTTTGTATCACAAGAAGAGCCCCACATGATCAAAGAAAAAGAGCCATTTTACCCAGTAACCTCCAGTTTCTGCATGTGTCAGTGATAGATACCTAGGACTGTTAACACGTTTAAATAATCCTAAACATTCTCCTGGGTCCATGCTAGTTTAAGCTCCAAGCAAGGCAATATTATATAGAGGACACCTGAATTATAATACATCCCTTAGGTTTTCCTTAAATGCAAATTTAAGCAAGTTGTTAAAGAGGAACAGGTGCCCAAACTGTTGTGGATTCCAGACTCTTTTCCACAGCTAAACCGTACCCCCCAAAGAAAGAAACAGCCCTTCCTTAACTTGCAAAGAAGTTGCAAGAATAAGTGATCTTTGACTGATCATTCATCAGTCACTGCATTTCTCTTTAACGCCTGTGTGACCCTTTTATGCAAGATCTCACTGTACTTCTTCAGAAGGTACTGAAAGCAGTATGTCAACAATTAATTTTTTTTTTTTTTTTAAATGATAATCTAATGGAAGCGTTAGAAAACTAGCCATTATTTCAAAGTTTTAAGTCAGAAGCTCAGTATATGCAGAATCAGATGAATACTTACCCTTTCTCATTATCAGCTGGCACTAGCCTTTTCTCTGAGGAGCCAACTGCAAGGATACAGGCTTGAGGTGGATTGATTATGGCAGAGAAATTCTTAATCCCATACATTCCTAAATTCGAAATTGTGAAAGTACCACCCTACGAGAAAAATGCATTCATAGTCAAATTCACAAAAGCTGTTTCATGTGGAACATTAATGAACATGGCTGGAACATCACAAAATAGGCTTTGCTCATTCTGAACAGGACTTCTGAACATAAGTCAGGGGCAGCAATGTTTAAGAGCAATCCGAGTTTCTCACCTGGAATTCATGAGGCTGAAGTTTACCTTCTCGGGCTTTAGTTGCCAAAGAAACCACATCCTTACTAATAGAAGCCAGGCCCTTTATATGTGCATTAAACACAATAGGAGTTATAAGCCCTGCAGGAGTACTAACTGCAACGCTAACATCCACTACATGATTTCTGCAAGACACAAAGGAGATACCAGTTACTCTAGCAAGATAACAAAGAAAAAAGTTTTCAAAAGTGTTCAGACAACTGTAAATTAATATTAATTTTGCAACAATTATTTCACCTTGCACACTAGCCTTAGACGCAAGGTTCTTAGCACTTTAATGAAAGCCCCTCAACCTTTGCATTATATCTGTTCCCCTCCCTCCTCAAAATCCCAGCAGGTGGTCTGCTATTTTGCCATGAACTCTCTACTGAACAAAGAAAGTTTCTGGCTTCGACCGTACCATAAACTTACTGCCTAATAACTGTATCCATCCATGAAGAATTTGCCTCAGGCACCTTCAAGCATGCCAGAGCAGAAGCTTTAATTATGAAGTCATTGACAGAAAGCTTAACGTTATCCGAGACCTCCTGTAAATAAAGAGATTCAAGGTGTCAGTTTGTCTCTTACGCATTACCTTAATTAACTTGGATAGTCACTGCCATGCAGCCTTGTTTAGAGAAAATGTTAGAAAACAATCACACCACTTCTAAGCATTAATATTTGAAGTGCCAAGATAATTTAGGAGGTGAATACATCTCCTTCATAATTTAAGAAGGTACAATCTTTTTTAATGTCTTTTTTTCTGCAAACTTGGCTTAGAATTATTATTTTGCTTGAATTTTCTACCCTTTTTACTCTTAAAAACCTTTTTTACCCTTTTGCCCTACTTTCCAGCTGGAAGAACTGAACAACACCAAGCTGAGGACAAAGCGGCCCTCTTAGGGAAGTCA